TGGCTTGAGAAGCCCAGGAGTTGGAGGTTGCTGTGAGCTAGGCTGACGCCACGGCACTCTAGCCCGGGCAACAGAGGGAGACTCTGTCTCAAAATAAATAAATAAATAAATAAAATTGCACCACCGGCAACCTCTGTCTCTGTTTTATTTTTCTCCACAGTGTACATCCCAGTCTGAGGGACTTTGCATGTAGCTCTTTATTTTGTTTATTGTGTTTATTCCTTCAAAGCTGCATGACAAAAGGGAGTTTTTTTAAAAAAAATATATCGACAAATAAAAATTGCATATATTGATCGTGTGCAATGTGATGTTTTGAAACATGTATAGCGGGATGGCTAAATCAAGCTAATTGACAATATGCGTGACCATATATTCTTATTTTTTTGGTGGTGAGAACATTGCAAATCTACTCTCTTGGCAATTTGCAAGGATACGTTACATTGTTATTAACTATAGTCAACAGGTTATACAATAGATCTCTTAAAGTCATTCCTCCTGACTGAAATTTTAGAGCCTTGGACCAACTTCTCAGTTCTCCAATCTCCCAGCCTCTGAGACCCACCATTGTAATCTCTGCTTCTATGAGTTGGACATTTTTAGGTGCCACATGTGAGTGAGATAATTTTGCATTTGTCTTTCTGTGCCTGGCTAATTTCACTTCACATAATGTCCTCCACGTCCATCCATGTTGCAAAGGGCAGGATTTCCTTTTTTTATAAGGCTAAATAGTATTGCATCGTGCATGCGGACCATACTTCTTTGTCCACCCACCTGGTGATGGGCACTTAGGTCGATTCTGTACCTTGGCCATTGTGAATAATGCTGCCATGAATACAGAGGTGCAGATATCTCTTTGACACACTGATTTCACTTCCTTTGGATACATACCCCACAGAGGGACTGCTGGGTCGTACAATATAGTTCTAGTATTATTTTTTTGAGACACCTCCATACTGTGTTTCATATGGCTGTATTGAGAAAAGGGAAGTTTTGATGGCTTTGTTCACCTTTAGATGCCCAGTCCCGGCACACAGTAGGTGCTCAATGTTTGCAGAAGGAATGTACAAGGTAAGTGCCATTTTAAAGATGAGGGAAGGGAGGGCTAAAGAAGTGAAGTGACTTGCTCGGGATCGCACTCAAAATAAGAGGCACAGCATTCTTGGAAGTGGTGCTGCGGGTGTCTACCCAAGGTCACTGCCCAGCTCTGGGGGCTCATGGCTGCCCTTGGGCTCTGGAGTGGCTCTCTCATAGGTGAGCCAGCGTGTCTGGAGGTCCCCCCGCCACCTGCCTCATCTGGCCCGTAGACAATGACTGTCCAAAGCCCACCTCCCTTCCACGGAGGCACGACAAACCCTGAGCTGTGACACACACTCCAGAGCTGCCCAGGAGGTCGGGCTGAGGCCAAGCTGGGACTTCACTCGAAATCACTCTCTTGTGTCTTTTTTTTCCTTCCCTATCCTGCCTCCTCCATTCCCTCCCCGGCTTCTCCCGGGAGCTCCTCGTTAATAAACCCTTGCATCCAAATCCTTGGCTTGGGATCTTCTTTTGGGAGGAGCCAATCTATGATACCACTGAATTCAGAGCAGGGTATGCAGTAGGTGATCGATGAATGCAGGTGTTGCTGATTCGGGGGCAAAGCCAAATTCTCCCTCCACAGGGGCGTCCCGTGGCTCAGGGATGCCTCCATCTCCCTTTGAATTCCCTCGGACAGGTCCCTCTTCCTCTGTCCCGCAAGGAGAACATTTCTGCAGAATCAACTGTGGATTTTAAACCAGAGCACAGTTTCTAGAAGTCAATTCTTGCTCACCCTTCATTTCCTTCCCTGCGGCCCTCAAAGGGAGTTTATCAAGTTTTCAGCTGATAATTGCCATTCAAAGTATCCAAAGAGGTAAAAAGTGCCACCCAGGCTTGTGAGATTTCCGTGCAAGTCCAGACTTTCCATCACACACTTACCAGCGCTTGGAGTAGCTACCACAGAGTGTCTGGAACCCGTCCAAGTGGGGGCATTGTGAATAGCCGGGGAAACACCTTCGTCTTGCGTGTGTCTGGCCCCTTAAAGATCGGTTGCATCCTAATTTGGAGAGGTCTGTTGGCTGGATGGAATTTGAAATG